AGAGTGTCCTGAACCAAGCCAGATTCAGGAAGCTCCACCCTGCCTGGGCGTGTCTGTTTCAAGCAGGGACGAGCCTGGAGGGATCTGGGTGGATGGCACTTAGGACAAGAATTGGGTAAAAGCAGGGGGTGGCTCACCTGGTCTGCGATGAGTCCACGGAAAGGGCTAATCTCTCTCTTTTATAATGAAAAATATCAAATGTCACAAAACATTTGATAAAAGTATGATAAAAAGCCATATAACAATGCTCTAGTTCTTTCAAATTTTAATATGTGGTAGTCTTATTTCCAAATGTATCTGAAGAATTTAGAATTCTACATTTCCACATCACCATTCTGAATATTGAGAATAGGGACATTGAGTACAAATATTTTATGAAAGGAATTATAACTTATCTGGCAGATTTATAAGCTTTTGAAATTATAAGAGTCCCTACCTATTTTTCTGTTTTCAGAGAGTATTTCTGTGAAGAGTTAAGGATAATCAGCTGCCTACCTATTTATTGTCTTCCATCTATCCATCCCTCCATCCAATTCATTGAAATCATTGTTAGTCTAGCATAGGGCCATCAGAACTTGTTAATAACTTACATTCAACTTTTCCATAATCTATGAGTCATTCAGTCAGCAATTGCAACTTTTCACCTAATCCCTTAGACAGTTGTTGGTATATCTTTCCAACTCACCATTGGCTCATATATTGACCAACTACATCAATCCAACTATGATAATTTTGAAAGCTTGGTGTCAGGGTAGGAGATGCAAGAATAAAGTAAACATTATCTCTGCTTGTCAGGACAATCCAAAGCAAAAAACAATCATATATCAAATGGGTACATGTGTTGGTAATACAGTGAGGAGACAAATTCATTAGAGTTACCCTATTCAAAAAGGTGACATTTGAGGACTAATTGATGCTTTTGACAGTTTATTATAACAGAAACTCACAGGACAAATAATTGAAAAATAGAGGATATAGGGGACAAGTACAGATGATGTCTCAGGATTTAGCTGAGAGCCTGGTCTCTTCATACAGACTTTGCACACTAGAAGACAATCCTGGATCCTCATAGACCACCTCTTGCATTCTGTTCTTCTTGTATATCCATGCGTTGAATCCAATATGGCCTTGGGTGTTGGATTCTGGTCCATCAGACTCAATAAATAATGAAATTCAAGCCTTTTGCAGTTAAGAACAGCTGCTTTCCTTTTCTCTTTGGATTTATGAGAGGGCCTCACTCTCATGAGAGGCATGGATGGCCTCTAAATTCTCCTGAATCACCATCTACAGTAGTGGGATTATAGGTTTTCCCCTTGGTTTCTGTTTCACAGATGTGTTAGTATACCCAGAATGGGAAAAAAAATTTCTTCCACCCATAGGAATCCTCAGATAACTAAGGCCAGAGACATTCAGGAGCAGAGGGCTCACAATGCAGCTAGATCCAGGTGCTGAGAGCACGTTTGGTATCTGCCAATCTACCAATCTCTCTCCCTCTGTTTGCCATCATTTCTGGATGACGTTATAAGCAGGAGGGTTGTTCCCTGGGAGGTTGAAGACAGTAGTACACAAGAGCTATATGAAACCTTTTCGGAAGCCAACCCTCTCCAAATTTTATCAGTATATTTGGTGTAAACTCTATGCTGTCTGGCAGGTATATTTGAACCGTTATTTATATTTGGGCTCATGGTAACCCCAATGTCACATGTAGTTGTCTAAACTCTCATGATTCTGTCAGTGCACATTCCTGAAGTGAGAGCTCTAGTTTTGTGTTGGGGACTCTAAAACCTATGTTCACTGTAATTCATCCCACTCCGTACATTCCGTCTTGTACATTCACCATGTTCAAATCTTAGATAATGGATCTGACCCACATATAGAAAGCAGCTCTATTATGAGGTTAAGGAAGAAGAAAGTGAGGGCTGGGAAAGTGTTTTCTCCTGACACTCTAGCTTATCTCAGCCCCAACGTCCTTCAAATTACCATATCAATCACTTTGTTTTCACTGTTCCTGTGGAGGAATTTGGGGTATTGTTGTGAGAAAGAACAAGTAGGAGGAAAGAGAAGGACAGGCACTCATGGAAACTGCCTTTCCAGAGCACCAATGACCCTGACTCTGCTGCTCCTACCACACACACATACACACACACACACACACACACACAGTGCCCAAACACAGAGGACACTGGAGGAATCAGGAAGGAAAGGCTGATTGTGACATATCATGCAGGGAAAGATTCTTTTTTTTTCAGATTTTTTTTTTATTTGAATTAGAAACAAGATTGTTTTACATGTCAATCCCAGTTCCCTCTCCCTCCTCTACTCCCCTACCACTCATTCCCCCCTCAACTAAAATCCTACCTATCACATATTCTTTCTGCTCCCCAGGGAGGGTGAGGCTTTCCATGGGGGGGGTCATCAGAGTCTATCATATCCTTTGGGATAGGGCCTAGGCACACCCCAGTGTATCTTGGCTCAGGGAGTATCAGGGAAAGCTTCTTAACACAGCCTCTGTTTTATCTTCACAGAATCTTTTTAAGATGGATTTGCATGAAGACACCAGACAGGTAAGGACCATTGCTTTCTGGGTTAGACTTCTTTTGAGTCTTAACAGTGCTTTTACTCCAAATAAGGATGAATAATCCTTCTGTTTGTATAAGTCTGGTCATCCTGTGTGTGCATTGCTGAGGCCGAGAGATGGAAATCATTCACTTGTCAGTTAGCACAGACAGAGTGATCAGAGGCAGGAATTGAACTTACCCTCAAATCTCTGTAGGTTGCTCCTGGTCCACAACTCAGTGCCCTGGGCCTAGTCTTCCCCTTCTTGTTCATATTCCTCACTCCCAAGATGAGCCTGCAGGGAGAGGCCCCACTAGAACTCTCTGCTCTCCAGAGTCAGAGATGCCTAGCTAAGGGTTTCATGGGAGGAACAAAATTGAAGCTGTATAGAGAGGAGCCTAGACTTCTGTTTGCCTGTGGCCTAAGATAGTCCAACATCACCCTCCGTCTCCTCCCTCCCACCTTTCCAATGTCCAGCTGTTGCCAGCTATGGTCCTGACCTCTCTGTTTAAATCCTGGGGAATCCCAGAATTTCCCTTAAGGGTCTTAAGAGTGAAATGAGATTCTTTCAGTCATCCAGAAATGATTTACTGAGGACTTGCTTTGTGTCAGGGGCTGATTTTACAGCTGGGTATGAAAGTGAAGTATATACAATCTCCTGCTTTCTTGGAGACTTCTGTCCTAATAGGCAAGGTGTGTAGCAGAAGACAAAAGAATGTGCATAACAACATGTAATACATATATTACATGATATATGTGTGTGTGTGTGTGTGTGTGTGTGTGTGTGTGTGTGTGTGTGTTTCTATCAACTAGAATTAAATTTAAAAACTGGAAGAGATGGCAAGGGTCGGCCAGTGGTTTTCTGTAGATAGCAGGGTCAGAGGAGGTGTCTTTCAGTGTTTGTGGCTGAAGTTCACCAATAAAGCTCTGGAGGGGTCAAGGAAGCCAGCTGTTGGGAACCCTGGAGGAAGAATGCTGCAGGCAGAGGGAAGGGCAGATGCCAAGACCTGCTGGGGGGGGGGTGCTTGTGTGCTTGGGTGAAGGCAAGGATGAAGAAAGAGGTCTGAAGCTAAATTGGCCATGGATGTGGGAAGGGGGACATGGCAGACAGGACTTGGCTTGTGACCCCACATGAAGCAGCGCATGTCCAGAGGGCTCAGCTGCAGTGTGGGAATAGTGTGATGTGTAGGAAAGAGCCAGGGAAGATGCTGAGCCTACCTGGGAGGCCTGTACATGGCAGTAATACAGGCAGAGGGTTTTGGTGGGTTACACCAGCCTAGAGCAGTATTTGAGGTCTGGACAGTCTTGAAGAGGTATTTGGCATGACTTGGCAGTGGACATGGTGTTTATGTAGTTTGTCGTTCTCTCTTTCAGCAGTATTTTGTCTCTGTTCTCTATAGTTACTTTTTAACAATTGCATGGTTTAGTGATATCCCAACCAGTTAAAGTCCAATTGTTTCTCAAGAATAACTAATTTAGAATATAAATACAGACATGGAGCTCACCATCAATCACAGATCCTATAAACTATGAATTTAGTTACTTGCAAAAGTGAATATATAAGCCCTAAGTCTGCAGGTGTGGGATTACTGTGGTCATCTGCAGCACCCTCACAGAGGAATGAGAGGTTTGAGCCAAGTGTCAGTCATGTGGTCCTAGCATCCTATTTGCAACAGAGCCTTATCTTATCATCTCATCATTCATAATCACACATGTGCAGCTTTGTGGGCTGTTACAGCCACAAAAACAGTTTCAGTGTTTGCTGCGTTAAGTGATTTCTCTGATTAAGATGCTGTAGAACCTAGTGATGCTGATATGTCCAGGGTCCCCAGGCAAGACAGGTTGTGAGGAGCCTTGTGGAGGAAACATTCCTGATGGCAGGCTTCTGTCATGCTTGAGTTATAGTGCTTCTCAACGTTGAAGTCAATATTGATGAGTCAACATGACAATACACGCAAAAAGGGGAGGGGAGAATTGCCTAGCTCTTGGGGAATCCATACTAAAGATTAGTCATGTGATACCTTCAGTGTGTGACAAAGTCAGGAATAGACAGAAAATTAGGTAATGGATTATTAGGTAGTGGATTCATGAGACAGTACATTTAAAAATTATAGTAGATTCCATGATTGTGACTCATCACAATCACAATCACAAAGCCAAAGAAATTTCTTCTTATGTGACCCATGATTGGGGAAATGTTAAGCCCTATTAATCTGGTGTTTTATTATAATAAATTCTACGTATGCTAATTCTTTGTAACAAATTTGTGTTATACATGTTTAAAGACACATACATATACATATATGTGTCTTTAAAACTGGGACCCACATATGATGACAATTGCTGTGAGTAGAGGGTCCCAGGAACCTACCTCTGGAATTCCCCAGCAGTGCTAGCTCAGGAGTCACTAATGCAGCATTTGTGGCAACTTTAACAGGCATAACTATCAGGAATAGAGAGAATCATTTTGGATGTAGAAATACATATTCTACAATGATACATGTTTAATTTCAGCTAAGGGCCCCTCTGAGCCTTCCTTGCCCCCCTCAACTTGTCACTGAGAGATACCCCAAATTAGGCCTTAGTGGCATATAGTCCCTTAATTTCCTTCTTAAGACCCCAAATTCCTGTGTCTCCTGCCCAAGCCATGGAGTTTATATTCTAGATACTCCCTTAGGAGCTCAGAGAGAGAAACAGGTTATTCCTGACAATGTATGCTCTCTTTCTCAGAGCCATCCCTTCATTCCCACTGTGATTGATGGAGTGCTGCTGCCAAAGATGCCTGAAGAGATCCTGGCTGAGAAAAATTTCAACACTGTGCCCTACATTGTGGGAATCAACAAGCAAGAATTTGGCTGGATTCTGCCAACTGTGAGCATAAACAGACCTCTTAGATAAAACATCCCCATTGCCTGCCCATCATTATTGCAAATGAGTTGTTTCTTCCCCAACCTCTGCTTGTATCTAGGGCATCTGTCTCTTCTTACCCATGGGTACTTCCATTGAGACATTTTCTTCCCAAGCTAACTTTAACCCTGGATTGTCCAGTCCTGGAAATTCTATCTCAACAAACACTTTGTCATTCCATTAAAATTAGGGGCTTGAAGTGTCCAGGCTGAGAGAGCTTATAGAGATAAGATTCAGACAATCAGACAAACAAGGGGTGTCTCTAAACAGGAAATGGCTGTAAGTTCAAGTGAGTCAGCCTGAGGAACCACTGCTTCCACAAAGGACTTGAACATGCTTGACATAAATCTCCACATATGCTCTCATTACACATCATTGAAAGATTCAGAGTCACTCCCCCATACACTTTTAAAAGGGAAGAGGTTTTTTTTTCCTTTTCAAAGATTAAAAACAAAATACAAACATTAGGTAAAAGAGGGTGGCAAAAGGGAGACGCTCAAACATGACCTGAACTCAAGTCCTAGATATAAACATCTCTAAACCTGACGAGGTTTCAAGGCTGGGGGAGCTTGGAGAGAAACTTTGGAGTGAGGGGAGAATCTGTATAGTCAGACATTGGGCTCCTTATTCAAACTTCACCTTTCATGGCAGATAGAAGGTCAAGATGGAGTAAAGCTACCACTGTAGTTAGAACATTGGAGACTGGAAGATAGAACAAGAATGGTTGTCCATGTGTTTACATTCCAAATATGTTACAAAAAGATTAATGATATTTATTCTCAAATGTTGGGATCCTTGGGTGTGAGGTTTTCATAGCTAGAGAAGTGAGGATATCTCTAGGTTTCTATAGCAAGTTCTCTGAGGCAGATGTCAGGGGCTGTCTATCTACAACCACATTTTAGCTGGAGAAGAGTGATTTCTCCTGAAAGAAGCAGGCTTTTCCAAAAGTCATAGGGAGACTCAGGTCACATTGTTGTGTGGTTTTTCACTTGCTAGAAGCTATACTGGAATTAAATCAAGTCACTGCATAGGACTGAGACAGGCTGAGATTTTCCATGGCTCTCATTGCAGAAGGATTTTTGATTTTCCTGTTATGTCTGTGAGGTAGTGTTTCCCATCTGCTTTGAGGGTCATTGTGCCCTTGGCCTGATCAATGCACATATTTAGAGAATCTTTTTCATGCCTGCATTTCTGTATAAGTCCATCTGTTTCACTGACTGTTTTAAAACCCACAAACTGCCATGACCATGGCTGTCCAACACAATAATGTTATTCTGCTTTGCCTTAATTGCTTGGTGTCTTAGTTATTTAGAGTTTTTATTGTCCAACAAAACACCATGACTCAAAAGTAAGTTGTGGAGGAAAGGGTTTATTCATCTTACACTTCCATATTGCTGTTCACCATGGAAGAAAGTCAGGACAGGAGCCTGGAAGCAGGAGCCAATACAGAGGCCATGGAGGAGTGCTGCTTACTGGCTTGCTTTACCTGGTTTGCTCAGCCTGCTTTCTTATAGAACCAGCTCAGGGATGGCACCATATTCCATGGACTGAGCCTGCTTCCACTGATCACTAATTGGAAAAATGCATTACAGCTGGAATCCCTTGAGCCATTTCCTCAACTGAGGTTCCTTCTTCTCTGGTGACTCTAGATTGTGTCAAGTTGACACAAAACCACCCAGTACATTTGACTTATTGAGTTCATTCTGCTAACTCCTGAGGATTCACAGGTGTTTCAACATGTTTTTAAACAGATGATGGACTATCCACCCTCTGAAGTGAAATTGGACCAGAAGATGGCTACATCACTGTTGAAGAAGTCCTCTTTTATTCTTGTAAGCACTCAGGTCAATTTGTCAATTATATCAACTTCTTTGAAACAAAGAAAAGATGTGAACTTGTCCAGAATACAAACAGACAGATTGACATGAAATGACAAGGGTCTTCCTTCTGTCCCCATTTTTTTCTGGCTTTCCTACATCACCACCCAGGAGGGATTTGTCCAGGGCTCAAGCAGTTCATAGTCAATGAACCGGAGAAGCCACACAAATCCCATGCTAGTGGTCACTTCCCTCATCTTTTCTAGAACCTCCCTGAGGATGAGATTCCAGTTGCCATCAAAAAGTACTTAGGTGACACAGAAGACCCAGACAGAAATAAACACCAGCTTCTGGAGCTGATCGGAGATGTGGCATTTGGTGTCCCATCTGTGATTGTGTCCCGTGGACATAGAGGTGAGTCCCAGAGGTTGGACAGGAGATGGACCCTTTATTTTACCACTTGTCTCTCTGACTGTCATACCTCCTGGCATCTGCACATGTGAAAACTATGGACACCAAGTCTCTAAAACAGACTTCTTGGCCTTATCTCGGCACTGGCGTCTGTGATTTGTGCCAACAACATTATCTGAGGAAAGAATTGAAATGCAAGGGAGGAAAAGGTTATTGATCCCAGAAAATATGAGTTGGGAGATGAGGAGGTGACTCAGAAAAGAAACGGAGGATAATGAATGATGCCTGACTAAGCATCAATTCCTGGATCTGGGGAGGGCTGGGAAACAAGTAGAACTCATATCACAGGATGATCCCACCTAGGTAGTAGGGAATTAGGGTATTTATCATCAGTGACCACTTGCTGTTAGGCTAAGCCTGGTCCAAATAGATACTGTTTCTGTTGAGTGCTGGGCTAATGTGCAAGTAGGCAGAATAGCGTGTAGTAGCCAGATGAAGAGCCCTCAGGTAGAGTAGAAGATGTTGGAGGCAGACATAATTCAGGCTGCAAACAGGAACAAGTGACACACCTTCTGTCACAGGGCTCCTTAACTGAAATTATACTGGTATATGGAGTTAGAGGTCAACTACTAGATAAGGTTTGAGAAGGGGTTCGAGGTCATATCTAGTTTTAGAGTATTAGCAATGGAATTGGGGAAGAGTCGAATGAGGTAAAGAATCAGGAAGGCTGCTTGTCACCAAGGAGGCCAATGAGGGGAAAGACCTGTGTAGGATAGGAATATAGACACTCTCAGTGTTCTTTGCTAGCTTCTATCCATCTAAGTGTGCCAATGCATGCAGACTGATGTCTGCCACAGGACCTTCCTATGTGACTCAGTGCTGGGCATGGCTGAGGCTGGGGCAATGAGCTTACCCTAGGGGTGGTGTGACCTCCATGGTCACCATTTGTGGAGCCCTTCTTCTCTCCAAGATTTCACTCGCATAATCTGCAAGCCAGTGAATAATTCTCTGTTCTAGATTACCCTCCCTAGCTTTCTGGGATGATTCAAAATTTTTATTTTATGTTTTATGCATGTCCAAGTAAGTGTGTGTGAGAGAGAGAAAGAGAAAGAGAGAGAAATATTTCTTATGTTCCCTAAAGAGGCCAGAAGAAGGTCATGGGAACCAAACTTGGGTCCTCTAGAAGACAAGTAAGTTCCCTTAGCCACCGAGCCCTCTATGCAGTCCTCCAAGAGGGTTTTTAAAATTATGTTTGCAACCATGATGTAAACTAGCTATAGTAGCCACCTGCTACTACTTCAGTTCCCCCAGCAGCAGGTAAAAAGAAAAGGGGTGAACACAGTGCTATATTGAAGAGACACAGACAGACAGAAGGTGGCTATGTAAGAATATTGATGGACAATATACATATAAATACATATCTACAGCAAATGCAATAATACATAATAGTAATAAATATATATATAATATAAATAATAAAAATACAAAGTTATCACAGTTTATGTGTTCAATGTAAAATAATTACTGTAACTTTGCTACCTCAGCAAGTTTTGCTTAGTGAAAACCTGACATTTCCTCTCATCATTTTTAAATACTGTTTATTAACAGCACTTATCATATTGTACAATGTTACTCAAAAATGAAAAGTGGAGGGACCAGTGAGATGGCTCAGCAGATAACATTCTTGCTGCCAAGCCTGATGACCTGAGTTCAATGCCTGGGACTCACATCATCATCCTCTAGCCACACATGCACTGTGGCCTGCCCATCCAATACAAAATACATAGACAAGTATACCAAAACACTTTAAAGATGAATACAATGATTCTGACTATCCAACAATCCACCCACCTCTCACCTCCAGCCTGTGACCCTTTCACTCTTTGCAAGTTTGAGATCTTTTGTCATAGGTGAGTCATATGTGTGTATTTGTCTATGTAGATCTGACTTAGTCCATTTAACATATTCTCTATCTTTATATATGATGTCATAATGACAGTACATCTTCTTTTTTAAAAGCATGCATTATTCCATCTGCAGTATTTCCCACTGTCTTTATGGAGTTGGCTATTGATGGACACATAGTAACTCCATAACTTGACTTTGGTGAGCAATGCAATCATGGAGCAACTGCATTTTCTTTTGGTTTTTTTGAAAGCATCTTATTTTACATATCCTCCCATTCCCTCACCCTCCCATGACCCTCACCGACTCCCCCAACCCACACCCCACCCACTCCTCAAGGATAGCAAAGCCTTCCACGGGGGATCATCAAAGTCTGTCACATCATTTTGACGGGAGAGCCTAGGCCCTCTTTCGTGTATCTGGGCTGCAATAGTAACCCCCATAGGGAATGGGCTCCCAAAGTCCATTTGTGCACTAGGGATAAACACTGGCTCCACTGTTAGAGGTTCCGTAGACTGGCCAGGCCTTCTAGCTGGCACCCACATTAAGAGGGCTTAGTTTGGTCCAATGCTGGTTCTCCAGCTTTATGGCTAGGGCAGGTCAACTGTTTCTGTGGGTTTCTTCAGCACGGACTTGGCTGTTTTGCTCCTCCCTCCTCCCTCTCTACAACTGAATTCTGTAGCTGATCGAAGCAGAAGCAGGCACCCACAGCTAAACAGTTGCATTTTCAACACACTAGTTTCAGATTTTTGGGGGGGGAGGTATATGCAAAAACTGGGATTGCTCTGTCACATGTCCACTCCATTTTTAACTTACTTTACACACTGTCCTCTTGTTTTGTAGCACGCACATTGTATGAATGAGATTCCTTTTCTCCTCATCCTTGCCATCACTACTTGTTATTAGTAGCTTTTTATAAAATATATTCAGACTGGGAAAGACACTATCTCATTGTAATTCTCAGTGATCTTAGATGTTAAAATTTTTGATTGATCTGTCATCTCTTTTTACTTTTATGCCGCTTTAAAAAAATGTCTATTCAAGTCCTTGTCATTTTATTTTCGTTGTAAGACGAAGTCTCTCTATTTAGACAAGGTTAACCCTGCCTGGCCCTTCACTTCATCTCCTCCTGACTCTGTGTCTTAACTGCTAAGATTTCAGTCACACTCCCCCAGGTTTGGATCCTTACTGGAACAAATGGGTTGCTTGCGGGGTTTTTTTTTTTTTTTTTTTTTTTTTTTTTGCTTGTTATTGAATTACTCACATTCCTTAGATAATTTCTATAGCAACCCTTTACAGCATGTATTCATTTGAAAAAACTTCCCAACTTGCACAAATGCAAATACACACACATAATCAGAAATGGGTTGTCTGTGTAGAATGTTCATTATTTTCCCTTTGCTTTGCAATGGGATATCCATCTCATTTCATAATTTTTGCCTGGGTTATCTCCACTTTTGATGTCAAACACAGACAGCCATGTTCCAACTAATGTAATCATTTTTTCTTCCTGTATGTTTTCTTATTGTTTTAGTTTCTGGTTGTTAATTAGACTATAATCCATTTTTTTAGTTTTTCTTTTGTAAATCATATGAGATAAATGTCCAACATTTCTGCATATGGAAATCCACTTTTGTGAGCAGCTACTACTGAAGTGACTTTCTTTACTCTAAGTTTGCTTTCTTCTAACGTATAACAACAATAAGGAATTCATCATAACTAGAGACTATGTTTATTCTAGGTGAAAGATACAGCACACGCAGCTTTTTCTCATGAAATGAAAAGTCTTGCCATATTCTAACCACAATTGGCTGTGTGCTCTTGGCTTCATTTTGAGTTCCTTATAGGGTTTCATTGATCAGTATATTTGTCTTTTCTTTTTTCTTTTTGTTGTTGTTGCAAGTACTTGGTTAGTCTAAGTTTTAGTACAAGTTTATTTCAAGTTTTAGTACAGCATGAAAGTACTGGATCAGACATTAGGCATTATTCTTATTATTCATGATTGCCTTGATTTAGTATGTACATGGGTATGTGCATTTGTGTGCTTGAGTGTGTGTGTGTGTGTGTGTGTGTGTGTGTGTGTGTGTGCGCGCATGTTTACTCTCATCCTTGTGATTTCATATGAATGTGGAATTATTTTCTGTATCTGTGACTATTGTCACTGGAACTTTGATAGGAATTGCACAGAACCAATTGTACACTTTGTGTAATGTGGGCATTTTTGTCTACTTTTGTTTTTATTTTTTAAGACATAGTCTCACTATATAGTCTGGTCTGGAACTCACTATATATACCAGGCTGGCCTTAATAACCACCTGGTTTTTGTCCATCATTCTGTAACGCTACACATCACAAAAATGAATCATTTTCATAGCTGTGTGATAAATCTTACTGCATCAAAGTGGATTAGCCTTTAAATGTGCTGTTATATTTCATTACTAGTATTTTCTTGGGTGCTTTATATCTATACTTATTCAAGATATGGTGTATTTGCTATTGAGTTGTTCTTACAATGTCTTTGTCTTATTTCATTTTGAAGGTAATCCTGTCCTGGAACTACTCCCACTTTCTTTATTTTCAAGTAAATTTGGGGAGAATGTTTGGGCTGATACTAGTTTTATCTATGATTGGTATCACCCATCTATGAAGTCATCAGAAAGTAGGATGTTTATTCATGGTAGGAGGCTTATCACTAATGCAACGACTTTGAGTCTGTGTGTGTGTGTGTGTGTGTGTGTGTGTGTGTGTGTGTGTGTGTAAAGACCAGAACTCTGTTGCTCTCCATCTTACATATTGAGACAGGGCCTTTGGCTTGAACTCAGGCCTGGACACTTCAGGCTTATCTAACTAGTCAGCTTGATGTGGAGATCCCCCGGCTCTGCCTGCAGTCCACTGGGATTACATCAGTCTGTAATGCCACAGGTGGACTGTATTTCCATGCATGTTGGACATCCAAACACTTGTCCTCACTCTTGTGTGGCAACAGCTTCCCCACTGAGCCTTCTTTCCAGCCCTGTTTCAACATAATTTATTTTTTTCACTTGGTTTCATAACAGACATATTAGTAGCTCAGGACCATGTTTCTTTTCAGGAGTCAATGAATTTTCCAAAATTCCTCCTGTTGTTGATGGCTAGTTTCAGTCCATTGTGATCAGAAATGATACTTGCTCTAATTCCAGTCTTCTTGTATTAGCTGATATTTGTGTTTTGTCCTCACATGGGATCTGTTCCACAGAATGTCCTGTGAGTACTGGAAACTAATAGGTGTTGTGTTGGTATTGAGTGGAATATTTGTACAATGCTATTAGATTGATTTTTCAAAATACTGATCAAGATCTGTGTTTCCTTAGGAATTTTATATCTGAAAATCTGGCACTTCGGATCTTCTAACACTTGATTTATATACTTAGATGCTCTGGTGTAGGATGTCAGGAACAATTTTGATGGCTAGAACAACTCTCCACTTCACACTCCTCTACTATACACTTTTATGTCTTTGAGGTCAGAATGTACATCACTTTGTAATGAAAATATTTTGGTTGTAGCTATCATGATTTAATTTGTTTTTATAATACTTTTGTCTCTGTACTAGGAACCAGGATTGTCATGGCCATGCTAGATGTTCTGAATATTGTTTGTTGTTCCGTGTCATTGACTTTCATGCTTTTATTTGTCTTATGTTATCCACCATTATCTTTGTGCTTAAATTATAAAAACTCTAAGGGTTTCTGTAAAGCACTTCTAGAGTGGTGAGTTTCATAAAATCTGATTGGTCTGAGAAAGCTGCCATTCCCTCACTTCTGAAGGTTAGTGTTCTCCAATGTTGTATTCCTGAGACAAAAGTGACCAGTGTTCCATGTCTGAAAATATTTGTCTTTAAAAACCCTCATTTCAGACAAATATCTTGGAAGTGCCTTATATTTTTCTGAATAGGAGAGAAAAACACATAGAATGCTTAAAATGGGACCGAGTGGAGGACACTCAGCAAGTTGTGATGCTGAAATAAATGAACACTGGTAGGTTATCAACGAACGGGGTCCAATGTGCCCATCGATGCAGTGCATTCATAAATCATTTCCTCACATGAACATCGCTTGTACTTCCACAATCTGCATAGTGGTAAACACATCAAGAAGCTTTCGTTAAACCATTTCTCTGTTGCACCAATAGGCAGAGGTCTCTTGCATTCCAATGCCCTCATGAACTGTACATGAATCCATGTCTTCCCAGATGCTGGAGCTCCCACCTATGTGTATGAGTTTCAATATCGCCCAAGCTTCTCACCAGAAATGAAACCCAAGACGGTGATAGGAGACCATGGAGATGAAGTCTACTCTGTCTTCGGTGCCCCGATTTTAAGAGGTTATGGTGTTTTGCTGCTTGTGAGCTTGTAGTTAGGAGGTCTGAGTTCCAGTCTTGCTCATGTGGCCTTGAGCACATTTCTCCTCCTCTCTTGATGTTCATTTCCCAATTCAGGGTAACAGAGCTGAGCTCAATTGCCAAGTAGCAAGCCTTGGTCCTACTCCAGCATAGGAAAGTTCATACTCATGGGAAGCCAGCAATACTCTGTGTTGAGATCTAGACCAAGAGAAAGGGGTCACCTGAGTGTCTCATGAAAGACAAGATTGCCATTGCTGCTTTGATTCCCACTCAAAATGGCATATCAGAATGAGAGTGAGGATGAGGTAAAGCTGTTCCTGACCGTGAGCCGGGTGTCACGTGCATCTGTCTGTCCATATGCATGCCTAGCCACATGGGATACTTTACCTAGATCATAATTAATAATACAATATCTAAAGAAACCTTTCAGAATATTTTCAATGTCTTTACTTCCAGCAGTTGCTGTGATTAATGACTGGCCTTGAGCCACCCTTTGGCTATTTATGACACACCTTCAACAGCTCCCAAGATTATGTCTTAGGGCTATTGTACATCTAATTGTGGGTTTGTGAGGAATAGTAAGAAAAGATGTGAGGCTCAGAAATCCTGTGAATCCCATGATCCACTGGAATTCTTTGCCTTTAGCATTTCCATATCAAGGAGATCAGTGGCATTGGGCATGAATCACCACATCAGAATGCACTACTTGCCTGTGGTGTCCTAGATAAGTCATTCTCAAACTGAAATTGGGTACCAACCCTACTCAATCTTCTAGCAATGGAGAGTTTGATCCTAGGGCTTTGGTATGAAAGCCCAAACCCTATTTCTCTAAAGATTTCCTATGTGATACTACTAGTGAGCTTATGGTCCATGAACTGACTCAAAAAGATTATCTTTATCACTCATAGATGGCACCTCAGAAGAGGAGATCAATCTCAGCAAGACAGTGATGAAATTCTGGGCAAACTTCGCTCGGAATGGGTGAGTCTGATGACCCAAATGGATCCTGGTTGGTAGGTGAGATGAGACAACAGGGGTACCCAATAGGAAGAGATGGCTTTAAAATTTTAAGTAATTGGCTCTAACCCTGTGACCCAGAGTTGAGTCAACGCTGCTCCCATCTCTTTGGTGTTCGAGTCTTTGGAGGAGATAAACCAGACATCCCTATAGGTTGAGAATGTGGGGAATACACATCAGCTTTAAGGAATTCTATTTGATTCTGTTCCCAGGAACCCCAATGGGAAGGGGATGCCACATTGGCCAAAGTATGACCAGAAAGAAGGCTACCTGCAGATTGGAGCTACCATCCAACAAGCCCAGAGGTTAAAAGACAAGGAAGTAGCTTTTTGGACTGAGCTCCTGGCTAAGAAGCCACCACTGACAGGACACACTGAACTGTGAATGGAAGGCTCTGTCAATCTCAAAAGACCAGGGGAACCCAAATGAGCCTACTCCATTATTTTGGGTAATCACGGGTTACTGGGGAGACTAGGAATTGTACAGTGGGAGTAGGCAGAGGCAAAAGAGAGAGAGAGAACTTGTACATGTGGACTCAATTTGGGAAATAAATACTGATTTGTAAATCAAATCAAGGTTGGTACCATGGATTGGAGATGAATCTATGCTCCTCAGAGAGAGAAACATCATAGGACATGGCTCTAAACTCAGGGAATGATGATCCAGAAATAGAGGAAAGCAGGCCTGGGGGAAAAGAAATGGGGATCCCCACCCACCTTCCATCTGTTTCTGAGTGATGACATCATCAGCACTTGAAGAACCTGATTTTAAAGGGTCTAGTGGAATACTAAGTGGAGGGTAATAGGAGAATATAAAGTCCCTGGAACTAGAAATCCAAGGAGGAGTTACACACATAACTCTCCAATCAAGTGCAGGTGGTAGCATCTGCATAAAGCCCTGCTCAGATTGTCTTATCCTGATCAATGACATCCGTAAGGGGAAATGTATAAGGCTTTCTATCCTCTAAAGGCATGGTAAAGAGGCTGAAGAAAAGAAAATATATTCATACCCCAGGAGAGCAGAGGGAAACTGTCCTGGGTAGTGCTACTGGAAGTCTTTTGATGTTCAGGAAGGACAAGGTCACAGAGAAATCTGCATTCCAATGTCCAGGACCATGAGTCCTCTAAGAATTCTGAAACTGGATTGGATGTCTCAAGTGAGCAGCTACTGGGTACCAAATATGAGAAATTTGACTGAACAAAATGACACTATGGGAGAGATTCCTGTGAAGGGTGTATGCACAGGTCAGGCTGAAAGCTAAGCACCAAACAAGAAATAATATAAGTCCTTCAAAATCAGCCCTTAGATAAGTGTAAACAAGTACTGCTAACATTAGCATAGTTTGCAGGGGTTAGTGGACTGTGGTAGCTAAGGAGAGAACAACAACAAAACGAAAGCCTCACTAATACCCTATACTAGAAAACTTTAAGTGCTTTAACACACACACACACACACACACACACACACACACACAAGAACGAGGATTTCTTCAGACTAACAGAAAAACAAGGGTGCTCCTGTTTACTCACAAATACCATCTACTTCAGTTTCTTTCCTTGTAGGCATTATATATTAAATGCAAAAATTGCAGCCACAGAAAAGAAGGCCAACTTAGCAAGAGACAAAATAAATGAGTAGCTTATCTGGACTGAGTAATAACACAGGTGTTAAATTGAATAGACTGGAACTGCCAGTGTCCTGGTCCTCCACCCATGGGAGGAGGTAGGCGTGGGTCTGTTTCAGCCCACCTTAAGGTGCCCTACTCAGAGCCTCCTGAGGTTTGGGGCATGCATATGGGGAAACCTGACACAGCATGTCAGCCCATCCAGGGTCTGCCAAAGTCCCAGTACTAGTCCCACCTCCACCCTCAGGAATAGGAGAGCCATCAGAGTATTGGACATGTTTGCACCCAGTGGAAGGGAAACTTGGACCCGCACCCACCAGGAGAGGAAGAGAAACCACCTGCACCCACTGGAAGAAGAGATGGGAGGAAGACATTAAAAAACAAAACAAAACAAAAAACAATATGACACAACCAGAGTCTAGGGACCCAAACATCCCAGTGTAGATGAAGCAGAAGAGAATAACATTAAAAAAACCTTCATGAAAATGATAGATGCCCTCAAAGTGGCTATGAAAAAATCTCTTAAAGAAATGGAAGAAAAAAACAAAGCAAAAAATGAAAGAAATCAACAAATCTCTTAAAGAAAGCAAGGAAAACTAAGAAAAAAAATAATCAAACAGATGAAGGAAACAGTTCAAGACCTGAAAACTGAAATAAGGACAATAGAGAAAACACAAAATAAGGGAATGCTGGAAATAGAAAAGCTGGGATCAGGAACTACAGATGCAAGCATAACCAACAGAATACAAGAGATGGAAGAGAAAATCTCAAGTGTTGAAGATACACTAGGATAAATAGATTCATCAACCAAAGAAAATCTGAACTCTAACAAATCCCCAACACTAAATATCCAGGAAATATGGGACACCATTTAAAGACCAAACATATTAGAATAACACCCGACTTTTGATGGAAACCCTGAAAGCCAGAAGGTCCTGGATAGATATTCTGCCAACACTAAGAGACCACAGGTGCCAGCCCAGACTACTAGAACCAGCAAAACTTAAAATCACTATAGATGGAGAAAACAAGATATTCCAGGACAAAACAATGTTTAAACAATACATATCCACTAACCTAACCCTACAGAAACTTCTGGAAGAAAGACTCCAACCCAAATAAGTTAAATATACCCCCAAAAAACAAAAGCAAAAGATAATACCACTTTACCAACAGCCAAAGCAAATCCCACTTTACCAAAAGCAAAAAGGGGTGGAAATCCCAACACAATACCACCACCAACAATAAATCCCAAATAAACAAGAATGAACAATCAATGATCATTAACATCCCTCAATATTAATGGTCTTAACTCGCCTATAAAAAGACACAGGATCACAGAATGGATACGAAAAATGGAATCTATACTTCTGCTGCATACAAAAAACACACCTCAACTTCAAAGACAGATGATACCTGAGAGTTAAGGATTGGGAAAAAAATTTCCAATCAAATGAACACAAGAAACAGGCAGGTGTAGCAATCCTAATATCTAAGAAATTAGACTTTAAACTAAAATCAGTCAAAAGAAATTAAGGAGGTCATTTCATATTCATCACAGGAGAAATACATCAAGATGAAGCCTCAACTCTGAACATCTATGCCCAAAATACAAAGGCATCCACATTGGTAAAAGAAACATTACTAAAGCTCAAATCACACATAAAATCTCACACACTTAAATAGTGGGAGACTTCAACATCCTGTTCTCACCACCAGACAGGACCACCAGAGAGAAACTTAACAAAGAAACAAGGGAACTAATAGAAGTTATGACCCAATTGGAATTAACAGACATCTGTAGAACATTCCATCCAAACACAAAAGAATATACCTTTTTCTCAGCGGCACATGGAACCTTCTCTAAAATCGACCACATACTCGGCAACATAGCACACCTCAACAGGTACAAAAAATTGCATGCTTTAAAGTTAGAATTCAACAACAACACAAATTGCAAAAAATCTACAAACTCATGGAAATTAAACAATGCAGAATTGCAACATTCCTGGGTCAAGAAAGAAATAAAAAAAGAAATTAAAGACCTCCTAGATTTCAAGGAGTATGAAGACACAGCATATCCAAACTCATGGACCACATTGAAAGCATTGCTAAGAGGAAAGTTCATAGCACTAAGTGCCCACATGAAGAAACTGGAGAATAGTCACACTAGAGAATTAACAGCACAACTGAAAGCTCTAGAACAAAAAGAAGCAAACTTACCCAGAAGGAGTAGACACCAGGAAATAGTCAAATTGAGGGCTGAAATCAATAAAGTAGAAACTAGGAAAACAATACAAATAGCCAATATAATGAATAGTTGGTTCTTCAAGAAAATCAACAAGATAGACAAACCTTTATCCAAACTTACCAAATGGCAGAGAATAAACATGGATTTTAACAAAATCAGAAATGAAAAGGGGGGCATAACAACAGAAACTGAGGAATCCAGAGAATCATCAGGTCATACTTTGAAACCCTATACTCCACAAAATTTGAAAATCTAAAGGAAATGGACAATTTACTAGATAGATACCACTTACCAAAATTAAATCAAGAACAGACAAGCAATCTAAATGGAGCTATAACCCCTAATGAAATAGAAGCAGCTATCAAAATATCCCCCTCCCAAAAAAGGCCAGGGCCAGATGGCTTCAGTGCAGAATTCTACCAGAAATTCAAAGAATAGCTAATACCAATTCTCCTCAAAGTGTTCCACACAATAGAAGCAGAAGGGTCATTGTCAAACTCTTTTTACGAGGCTTCAATAACATTGGTACCCAAGCCACACAAATACACAACTAAGAAAGAGAACTACAGACCAATATCCCTTATGAACATTGATGCAAAAAAATACTCAATAAAATACTAGCAAATCTTATCCAAGAACACATCAGAAAAAGTATCTACCATGATGAAGTAGGCTTCATCCCAGGGATGCAGGGATGGTTCAATATATGAAAATCCATCAATGTAATCCACCATATAAACAAACTGAAAAAGAAAACCACATAATCATCTCACTAGATGCAGAAAAAGCCTTTGAGAAAATTCAACATCCCTTTATGATAAAGGTCTTGGAGAGATTCAGGAATAACAGGAACATACCTAAACATGATAAAAGCAATATACAACAAACCAATAGCCAACATCAAACTAAATGGAGTGAAACCCAATGTGATTCCTCTAAAATCAGGAACAAGACAAGGCTGTCCATTCTCTCCATACCTCTTCAATATTGTCCTTGAAGTTCTAGCTACAGCAATAAGAAAACAAAAGGAGATCAAGGGAATATAAATTGAAAAGGAAGAAGTCAAACTTTCATTATTTGCAGATGATATGATAGTTTACATAAGTGACCCGAAAAATTCTACCAGGGAACTACAGATGATAAACACCTTCAGAAAAGTGGCAGGATACAAGATTAACTAAAAAAAAAATCAGTAACCCTACTATATATAGATAATAAATGGGCTGACAAAGAAATCAGAGAAACATCACCATTTACAATTGCCACAAACAACATAAAATATCTAGGACCTTCAGAAAAGTGGCAGGATACAAGATTAACTAAAAAAAAAATCAGTAACCCTACTATATATAGATAATAAATGGGCTGACAAAGAAATCAGAGAAACATCACCATTTACAATTGCCACAAACAACATAAAATATCTAGGAGTAATGCTAACCAAACAAATGAAAGACCTGTATAGCAAGAACTTTGAGTCTTTAAAGAAAAAAATTAAAGAAGATACCA